ACAGAAAGTGTTTTTTATTGTCAGAACTGAGCTTACATTAACGTTAGCTATGGACAAAAGCATGGAACAGAAATATAATGAAAGTGAAAAGATTCTCATTGAATTCATTAGAAGGAAATTATCATTAATGGTAACTAAATCAGTCCCCACTTAGTTTTAAATGAATGCCTTTTAAAACGTGTTGATATCTAAGGGAATGTCTGTAAGTTACGTCGCAAAAGGGAAGCATAAATGATGTCCAATTGGAATTTTCAGAAAGGAAATTATTTTTGATGAGGATCTCAAAAGAGATACTACTCACCTTATTATATCAGCAGTCTGTCATTTTGCTATATAAAACAGTGCAGTTTACTTTTTTTAATCAGATCTTTTGATTTGTCTTTATCATAGTTAATTATTGTAATCCCATGGTAAAGGTTTTAAGATGACATTTTTTTAATATAGTAATCATTTGGATTAGATTAACAGGTAATCTATAAAAGAATACAGTTTAATGGTCATGTGTACAGACTTGGATGCAACATTTTTTTATCATTGTGGTGGACACAAAAAAACTGAGTCTGCCCACTGTGCACTATGTGACAGCAATGACCCTTTCGGAGTGACACACATTCCCTGAATGGAAAAAAGTTCTCTAAAGTTTGTAGCATCACATCTTTAATAGTTTTTAAGGTATTTTGTAGCTAGTAACCGAGACACACACACTGACTGGGAAAACCCAACGAGAGCTCAGACACATACACAGACAACCAGTGCGAGTGATCCAAAGGTGCTTTATTTACACAGTTCTAAGTGAACACACACCAAAACTTAAACGTGGCTTGCCCAGCCTTTTACTTTCACAAGACAAAAGTCCCTCTTACTTGTCCTTTTTTCTGTGTCTCTATCCAGCATACATGAGGCAGCGTCCCCTCTCAGACTGGAAAGAGAGACAGTTTGTCTGCCGAGAGTCTCCATAGATGAGATAAAAAATGCAATAGGCTGTTTTCCTGCTATAATCATATGCTACACTATCCTAAGTTGTCTGAAACCTCCCGTTGTATTGACTGTCTGATTTAAAAATACCCCTACAAACATTTAGCAAACATTTAATAATGCTCTGGTAAATGCAAACTTACCTTTTCTAAGCAGCTTAAAATGTAGTGAATGTGTATAAAAGACGTCTGTGAATGATTAATTATTTGTTGACTAATGAGTTGAATGGTAATGTATAGTCTTTTAGCTACGGGCATACATTTAATGTCTTGATGTGACATTTTAATCAAGAAATACGAACAGGTGATAATTACCCGAATTAACAATGATGAAACATGGTACAATCCCATTTCCAAAAAAGTTGGGACGCTGTGCAGAATGTAAATAAAATAAGAAGCAATGAGATGGAAATGATGTAAAGCATATTTTTAAAGGAAAATACTTCAAAGACAACATATCAAATGTTAAAACTGAAACTTTTTTTTTTTAATATATGCCCATTTTGAATTTATTGCCAACAACATATTCCAAAAAAGTTGGGAGGGACTGTTTACCAGTGTGTTTCATCACCTCTCCTTTTGACAGCACTCTTTAAGTGTTTGGGAACTGAGGAGACACTGCTGTAGTTTGGAAAGTGAAGGGTTTTTACTCTTCTTGTTTGATACAGGATTTCAGCAGTTCAACATTTCAGGGTCTCCTTTGTCGTATTTTTCATTTCATGATGTACCAAATGTTATCAGTGGTGACAGGTCTGGACTGCAGACAGGTCAGTTTAGCACCTGGACTCTTTTAAAACAGAGCAATGCTGTTGTAATACATGCAGAATGTAGTTTGGCATTGTCCTGCTGGGATAATGGGGTTGTAGAAAAAGCTAGTAAATGGTCAGTTACAAGTGTACTTATACATGTTATGAATGTCTGTTCTGTTAAGCAGAACTCATAAACAGCTGACAACTAATTTTATAATGATTGAAAGACCACTGTGTTTGAAAGTTTAATAATAAACTGCATTAGCATTATTAACAGCTTGCTTATAGTAAATGAATTGTTAAAAAGCCGATCTTAAAACAAAATACCAGAAAATTTTACTTCACAGTATCCTGCTGAAAGCAGTGAAGTTAATTTCTATAAAAGTACAGATATTGCAAAAATACTTTAACACAATAATTAATGGCTTGTTATTACCGTCCACCACTGATACTTAATAAGTGTCTCTGTCTGTGACTTGTTAAACCACACAGATTACACATTTTGGATGTCTTTATAAATATAAATATAACTGCGTGCTATCCATTGTTTCTTTAATAACGTTGTTGCTAATAGACAGGAATAAAAAGGAATTGACCTCAATACTGCAGTTCTAGGGTGGAGATACAGTCTAACATACCGTCCACTTCTTATACTCGTCCATCACAGCCCACATCACAGTACACCTGTACAGGTGTGTCACCTGCAGGGTAGATGGTGTAAACACCATTCAGTGTTGCATTAGTGGAGATGTCACAGTTTGTCTGAGAAACTGAGGTGCTTCCAACCAGCAGGGGGAGCACTAGAACCAGAAACGCTCTGAACTGGAGAGAAGACAAAGATTGAGAGACATAATAAACAATAACATAGTCAAATTGTGAAAGTACACTAAAGAGTAAAATAATAAAACTGCATATGTTACACTAATAACTAATGCATTAATGCACTAGTACACTAAAAGAAAATAAAACATTTTGGAACTGAAAGGGATACTCATGCAAATGGCATTACCCAGTGTGGCCAAACAGTGGCGCCATTCATAAGGGAAACATTGTTTGCCACAACATAAAATGCTGCAAAACGCCTCCTGAATCTAAAGTGGTAAAATTTTGTACAGTTTATACAGTGGATGAACAATTAAAAGAACTCAATCAATTGTTTTGATGACAGGTAATTTCCACACTTTTATTCATTTTGTGAAAACTATATTTGCTGTTAAAAAGAATAAACAGACATGAAGACCGGAGAGCTGTCTGTGGGAGAAAAGCAGAGAAATAGGGAAAATGGAACAGAGACATTGCACAACAATTTGGCATAGTCAGTACAACAATTTGAAATGTCTTGAAAAAGAAAGAAACCACTAGAGTAATAACAACCAGACCAGATATTGGAGTAGTTGTGTTAATTAGTTTATTTGTGACCGAGGAGGGTGGTTGTACAGTATGCTGAAAGTGTCTACTGTCCTTATGTGCCATGTGGTCCTGTGTTACCCCCTCCTTGTGTTTTGTATGGGGCAGCGCTATGCTGGGTGTTTCTGGTCTTTGTAAAGACTTGCTGTTGAAGTGCCTGTTCAATCAAGAGCATTCACCTGTATGTGCAATGTTTTCCATAAACAACGACTTCTTCACTGACACTAGACTGGTATCAGAAATGGGATATGGCCGCTGAGCTGGAAGAAGTCAAGTGGTGTAAAAACGAACTTGAAGGTAGACAGCAAAGAACACATAGGAAGGGGAAGGGGGCACTGAGTGCTACACCCACCCTTTACCTGATAGGTTCCGCCAGTTAAGAGTGAGGTGACTGGCTGAGGAAGACGGCAGAGGTAACAGTGCGGTGAGACTCTACGATAGAGAGATACGACATATGTTCACTTAGTCCGCTTCAGTGAAAAGGCACCTGGGAGCTGTACTCCGCACAGCTGCAAGTGGTTGTCTGGCATCACCGCTGGATGGTGGCTGCCACTGTGATGCAGTGGTGTCTGGCACTGGGCGGCAAAGCACTACAAGTGCTGGTGGATCTGCCGCTGGACCAAGATGATGACCTAGAGCCTTTGTCCAGGAACCAGCAGCATGGTTGGCTAGGTGGCTTGTCCTAGAGAGGTCGAGGCCAAAAGGAAAGTGGAGCACTTCCTAAATGAGCTGCTACCAGAGAAGTCAGAACTCATCCTCAGCATGATCAATCAGCTTCCTGACAGACAGGAAACAGCAGGTGTAGCTGAGGGAAGTACATATAGATTATATATAGTCTACATATTTCTTGTATACTGTGTGTGCCGTGTGTATTGTATATTGTATTGTCTGTAAATTATTTGTACATTGTTTTATATTACATTTAATATAAAAGAGACACCAATGGCAAACTTAGTGTGCGTGTCAGCATATTTTGCCAAAAAATCTGATTCTGATTCTGATGAGTTCTTTATCACAAATGTCTTAGCAGTCTCCAGGAAGCAGATCTTGAGTAACAGAAATACTCCAAATCAGCAGGAGGAGCTCTGGAACCAAAGAAAGTGAAAGAACGAATAAATCCACCTCGTTGTCTGTCACCAAGCCTAAACTTGTGGTTTGGTGCTTAAGTGCAAACCACACATTTCAGATTTGTCAAAAGTGTGTGCTTGTTAATAGTGTGAGTGTGCAGATATGTACAGTATGTTTGTGGCACAGTTGCTGATATTTTCATTATATTAGCATTCTTTCCTGATATTTCTGAAATTGTGTGTTAGAATGTCCCCAATGCTTCTAACTATGGCATACGCACTTAACTCAATCACACTTCAGTGAAGTCTTCAGGAAAGTGTGAGTTTATTGTGTGTTTAGTGTGGTCTTGTACACTGTGTCTTTGTATGACTGCAATGAGTTGTTGACAGTTGTGGAAGAGAAGACAATCAGGTGTGAAATAAAACGGTTTTGTTTCTCAATTTGTCTTGTTATTGAGCTGGAGCAATGTACATAAGCATATTAGCTAATTAGCTATTTAGTATGTGTAATTCCATTTATTCACATTTTGTTTAAATAAATGAGAATTGGTTAATGCTTTTAATAAAAATATTTTAGTTTTGAGAAATAATGCAACATTTTTTGTACTGCAACAGCTTTTATTAAATTTAATGTACTGAATAAGACATGCACAGATTTAAACAGAACAGCAATCTTCTAATAAACTATGTCAACTTGTGTCTATCTCCAGAGGCTACATGCTACAAAGAAAAAAAGAAAAGAAAATCTGTGTTGTTAGATTCTGCCTTTTTCGTTTTAAGCAAGGGGAACCCATTGCATGGTTCTAGGCCACAGGCCTGATCTTCATACTGATGGACTTGAGACCATAATCATACGTTTTCCAGTGATACCACACATCTCCAATAGCGAAAAGGGTGCTATCCCTTCCCCACAGATAGATACCGTTGGGGTTAGCATGGTGGCAACTATTGTACCAAAATGCTCCAAGGTAGGATTTAGCACAGTTACCACCCCAAGTGTCCTGGTCTTTGTCAAAGGTGGAGAACTTCTGTCCATTGTGGTATCCCAGTGAGTCACCTGCAGACAGAAGGATCTGTCACTACAGAGATGCTTTACACATTCACTATCACAACACAGAGTAAAGGACGACTTTATAACATAGTTATATTGAAAATGACTTTCTATTTTATATGAACACTGTTCTCTGACTATCCAGACAGCCATATGCAGGGTGGTGTGGTAATACAATACATGTAAAAAGGAAAAGGATTACATTTACAAACTTGTCACACTTTGTCAGAATTGGCTATGTCATTGAATGTCAAATATGTCACATGATTTGTGTAGATTTAAATTTGAGTTTTTATTTTGGTAAGGGGTCAGGGGTGCACAGAAATTTCCCCTCACAAGCAGCAGCTCACAGATTTTTTTTGTCAATCTCTAAAATTCTTTCTGCTTTTTTATTGGCAGAACTGAGCTCACATTAGTGGTAACTAATATTTTAACTAAAATGAAACAGAAGAACAATGAAGCGGTTTCACTTGGTTTCACCTTCGCGATATATTTACTTTTACATACATGATTTCTTCCTTCCATTTTTTTCTTTGAATGGGTGCAAAATCTGAAGATGTGTAAATTATATTTATTGGTAATTAAACACACTTTGTGTGAAATGAATGCATTTTAATATTCTTAGAACATGTTGATTTCCATGGACTTTAACCACTGAAAGTTAAGGGACAATCAACAAATTACATCACAAACAACATTCAGCAAATTTTAGCTTTTATATTTACAACCCCGTTTCCAAAAAAGTTGGGACGCTGTGCAAAATGTAAATAAAAACAAAATGCAACGATGTGCAAATCATTTAAACCAATATATTTAATTAAAAATAGTACAAAGACAACGTATCAAATGTTGAAACTGAGGAATTTTATTGTTTTTTTGAAAAATATTTGTCCATTTTGAATTTAATACCAACAACACGTTCCAAAAAAGTTGGGACAGGAGCAACAAAAGGCTGGTAAAGTTGTGTAATGCTAAAAAAAAATACTTGGTGGTTAACTGCCAACAGTTCAGTAACATGATTGGGTATTGAGTCTTTCAGAAGTAAAGATGGGGAGGGGTTCACCACTCTGTGAAAGACTGCATGTGCAAATAGTGCAACAATTCAAGAATAACATTTGTTATTCTTAGAATAATGTAAAATAGCAATTAACTTTTTGCTTTTCATCATCTAGGTACATAATATCATTTAAAAAAATCTGAAAATCTGGAGAAATCTCTGTATTAAAGGGACAAGGCCAAAAACCAGTATTTGCTGGTCATGATCTTTGGGCCCTCAGGTGGCACTGCATTAAAAATAGACACGATTCTGTAGTGGAAATCACTGCATGGGCTCAGAAACACTTCTGAAAACCACTGAAAACTGCTGCATCCACAAATGCAAGTTAAAACTCTAAAAAGAAAAAACCAAATATAAACAGGATCCAGAAATGCTGCCACCTTCTCTGGGCCCGAGCTCATTTAAAATGGACTGAGGTGGAAAAGTGTCCTGTGGTCCAACAAATCAGCGTTTGAAAAAAACAGTATTCATGATGGTATGGGGGGGCATTAGTGTGCATGGCATGGGTGATGTGCACATCTGTGAAGGCCCCATTAATACTGAATGATATATACATGATTTGGCAACATACACTGCCATCCAGACGACGTCTTTTTCAGGTAAGGCCTTCATTATTTCAGCAATACAGTGTGTAACCACATTCTGCATGTATTACAGCAGCATTGCTCCATATTATAAAGAGTGCTAAACTGACCTGCCTGCAGACCAGACCCGTCACCCACTGATAACATTTGGCACATTATGAAATGAAAAATACCTTAATTTGACATTTAAAATACAACATTTGGTTTGTTGTCTTTGTACTATTTTCAATGAAATATAGGATTTAAACTGATTTGCACATCATTGCATTTTGTTTTTATTGACATTTTGCACAGCATCCCAACTTTTTTGAAAATGGGGTTGTATATCTAGATGTGTTAACTTAGAACATGGCACCTTTTGTTTGAACTCACTCTTTTTTCAACTGAGCAAAAATATTGGAACATGTGATTCGCTGGTGTTTCTTGTTGCCCAGATGTGCCCTGTTAGATTGAGTTAAACAATTAGCTCTGAATGTCTACTCCTGGTTTGAGCCTGGGGTTTATTCTGTGAAGATTACATTTGCTATTTAAAAGGATGAACCAACACGAAGGCCAGAGAACTCTCTGCAAGCCAAACTGAGAAAAGAGGGAAAATTGAATCATTGCACAAGCACTGGGCGTAGCCAATACATCAGTTTATAATGTCCTGAAAAACAAAGAAACCACTAAATTACTAACAACCAGACCTCAAATTGGTCTGCCAAGGAAAATAGCAGCAGTTGATGACAGGAACATTGTTAAGGCTGTGAAGAAAATCCCAAAAACAACAATCAGTGACATCACCAATGACCTCTATCAGGCAGGGGTGAAGAGAACACAATCCATTACGCAAAGAAGACTTAGAGAGCATAAAAATAGAGGCCATACCACAAGATGCTAATCACTCATCAGCAGTAAGAATAAGAAGGTCAGAGTGGATTTCACAAAGAAATTCAGAGATGAGCCTAAAAAGTTCTGGAACCGAATAAAAAAGTTTTATGGATTGATAAGACCAAGATCAACCTCTACTAAAAAAGAAGTGATGGAATTGGCATAGTGTGGAGAAAAAAAGATCTACTAATGATCTCTTTATTTAGAAGCTCATCAATCAAGCACGGGGGAGGTAGTGTCATGCCTTGCACTTACATGGCTGCTTCTGGAACAGACTCACTTCTCTATAATGATGATGTAGCTCATGATGGCAGCAGCAGAATGAATTCAGTCTACAGAAACATTCTGACTGCCAATTTACAGAGAAATGCATCCAATCTAATCAGGAGAAACATCATCATGCAGCAAGACAGTGATCCAAAACACAAGACAAGGCAATCACCAGACCTCTCTAATTCACTGAGCAGCATTTCATCTTGTAAAGAGGAGACTGAAGATACAACCCCCCAAAAACAAACAACAACTGAAAGAAGCTGCATGACAAACCTGGAAAAGCTTCACAAAAGAAGAATGCAAAAGATTGTTGATGTCAGTAGATCACCAGCTTGATACAGTTATTGCAATTAAAAGATATGCATGCAAATAGCTATTGTTATTTTTATTATTTGATATGTATTATTTTATTATTATGTGACATTTGCTTACCTAAAAATTGAGGGCCCTGACACCAAAGACACCATGTTTTAAGTTACTTAATACATCTAGGTGTAAATATCAGGAAATCTCAGCTGAATTTCTGTTCTCTCAAACCCAAATGTCTTCACTCTCTAGCCAAAACAAAAGAACTGGCACTGCCGTTCCAAAATCTTTGGAGGGGACTGTATACTGAACCAGTGTAGATCCAAGTAAGCAGTTCTTGCCCATGTTGAGCAATGAAATCAGACTCTCTGAGACAGGCAGAAGTATGTCTTGTGAAACTATAGCATCAGTAATGTGAAAAGAACAACAAGTAGTAGTGCTCCAGCCAGTAGTGCTCTAGATATTTTCAGGGCTCATGACTGTCTTATTTGCTCCACCTGTTTGCTTTTGGTCCAAGACAAAGGTAGATTTTCAAATTCAATGGCCTCTTGAAAGCCCACACACTGCTGCAGAAGGCACAGTTTTGCTACACATTATACCTGTTAATTACCAGCTGTTACATTTGTACAGTCTAACATGTCTTTTTACTCTCTGTGTAATTCACTATATGTAGCCTAACTCTAAAGGGATCATCAACATGACAATGGCCTTTTTTTCATCCATCACAATTTTTGTCCTTAATTATTTCTATATTGTTAATTGTATCTTACCGGCTCCTCCATTGATGAATCCAGCAACGGTGAGTTTGTAGCCATTGACATCAGATTCCACAGAGAAATTAGAGTACTGGGCGTAAACCTTCCCTCCCTCAAAGTCCTCCAGGTCCACTCTCAGCTCATACTTTCTCTTGCGGGTGAGCTGGTAGAGTTTCTCCAATCCTGTTGATGCAAAGGCCAAAACAGTTATAAAGGTCATTCATGAAGATTCAGGTCCAAATTGTGACTACATAAGAAGCAATATGCACAGCTTATCCCTAATATGAAGAAGTCTTCATTTTCCAAAGTTTTTTATTATTTTGCTGTTCTAACACTGAAAACCAAAAAACTGTTCGGTCTTGGTTCTAAGTTTCAGAAACATTTTAAATAACCTTGAAAACTCAGATAAATCACAAGTCAATGAGACTAAATGATAGCACCATAGCATGTGATTGTGTTTATGTGTATTCTACTTGTTTCTTGATGTGTTTGTTTCATTACATTATTAAATGCTGTTAGGATCTAAATTAATTCAGGTCCAAAACATTTCACACTGGAATCTTACTAACTCTGTGTTTAACGCATATATATTTTCAATATCTCAAATTAGCACATTTGTGTCATATACTTCATGATGTGTTCAACAGAACTTTAATTTACCCCAAAATAAAAAAGTGTTGTAACACTCTGGCACATTTTGAAAATTAGGCTCTGCGCTACGGAGTGACACAACTGTCTACACAGCAAAAAATGTTATCTTGTCATCTTAATTCAAGTAGATATATGTAATAATCCTAATTCTGAGATTGTTGTAAGAATATTCTAAGATTATTCAACTACTTCTGGACAGTTTTTGCTGAAGTAAATATATGTAATATAAAAATAAAAGTGACATAATCTCAGTATATTGGCATATTATTTTTATTTGGTTTGAGAAATAAATGCCTGAAACATGCAAAACTACCTGCCAGTATAGTGAAATAATTTGGTACAGAGTATCGTAGAAGTAAATAGATTACTTTGTCCAGAAAGTAATAATTACATAATCATAACAGAGAATAAGTAATATCTTGAATGGACTACTGTTCTGAAATAATCACCCCATGTCACAATGCCTATAATAATAATAATAATTTTAATAAATAAAAGTATTTATTTTAATAAATAGTATTAATTAAGAACCGTATAAGAAAATTACACAGATCAAATTAAAAGATAAGTACCATGATACATAGAGCTTTAATTAAATGCTGAGTTAAAGAGATATATTTTTAGATGCTTCTTAAAAGTGAGCTCTGAGCTTGACTGTCTAATAAAAGGTGAACTGAGCTCCACAGTTTAGAAGCAGAATAACTGAACGAGTATCTCCACGTTTTCTGTATTTTATGGAAGGTGTTTGTAGAAGGTCAGTATCTGCAGATCTAAGATCACATGTCTAAGACACTCTGTTATGTAAGCCTGTGCTTTAAGGTCATTTAGAGCCTCAAAACTAGTAGCAGAACTTTAAAATCTATCCTAAACGATACAGGCAGCCAGTGCAGTTCTTTTAAAACAGGAGTGATGTGATCCCTTTGTGTTGTTTTTGTTAAGATGTGTGCTGATGCATTTTTGTACAAGTTGTAAGGGATGTATTGTTTTTTTTTTAGTTAGTCCAGTAAGAAGATCATTACAGTCATCAACTTTGCATCACTCTGAGATAGAAAAGACCAAACTTTAGTGATATTTCTTAAATGATAAAAAGCTACTTTAGTGACTGTGTACACTGTGTTTACACTTTCAGATAAAACAGAGCTTGGATCACACAAAGGTTTTGTACTTGATGCTTGGCATATGAAGCGAAAGAACCAAGTTTTTCATACAGCAGCTTTCTCTGAGTTTTTGTACCAACAATCAGTATTTCCGTTTTTTCTTGATTTAATTGTAGAAAATTGTTCAGTCTGTCTACAGAGTCAAAAGGAATGTGTCCCTGGGTGTCATCAGCATAGTTTCCTAATGACATCACCTAGCAGTAGCATATACAAAGAAAAGCAAAGGCCCTAAGACTGAACCTTGAGGGACTCCACAAGAAATGCCAAATCTTTTTGATGAATGATTTCCCATTGACACAGTGAACTGCCTATTACCTAAATATGATTTAAAACATTCTAAATCTGTGCCCAAGAGGTCGACCCAGAATTCAAGACATTGGATTAGAATCTTGTGGTCAATGGTATTGAAAGCTGCACTAAGATCTAATAAAACCAGAATAGAAGGATTTTGTGCATCAGCGCTGAGCCTGAGGTCATTCACAACACCATCCAATGCTGTCTCAGTACTATGCTTAGAACAAAAACCTGACTAAATTTTCTCATATAACTTGTTTGATATTACATATGCATTTAATTGTTTGAAAACAACTTTTTCTAAAATGTCACAAGAGGTTTAAAATTGGTCTAAAATTATTTAGTCTACTACTCTCTGGAAGTTGGACCTGCCCAGACTGGAATGGCTCATTCCAGCTTCGCTACTCCATGGCTTCACCCCTTCATTACATACACTGGCAGCTAATATAAGGACTCATTAATACTGAAACTATCTATACTGACATTAATACTAGTATTACATACGGTCTGCTGAGTCTGTGCAGCACTTTGTTCTGACTGAAAGAACTAAGTTAGCTTTAGAGATCAACTCTTTGCTTTCTTCCTTCTTTTTGTGTTTCTCTGCTGCATTTAGATGACTACAGTTATTTTTTTCCTCTTAACACCCAGAAAATCTCACCAAATTAAATTACAGAAAATAATGGCTACAATGAAAAATAACAGCTATTTTAAAAATACATGTATAAATGTACTTCAGAATAAGTTATTTAACATCAACAGGTACTGTTATCCAAGTTGTATTTTCATGGGGCACTTGACAGCTGTCTACCTTTGCCTGGTGCAAAGACCATCCCTGACTAATATTTATGTACATAACAAAACCGTATTCCTGATAGTATTGATTTTAATCTGATTATTTTAATTAATGTTTAAAAAATAACACCTTAAAAATAAGATTGCTTACAATATTTATTTTATTGCTTTTTCTTTGTTTTTTTCACATTTGTCTTTAGACTTCATTCTTTCAGTTTCAGTTTTTAAAGAAATTGGTCTCTACACTGTGTTTCTGATAATGAATTCTCACCCAGCCAGTATTCTCCATTTTTGTTCCCAAATCCTTTCTTGTACTGCTCCCATGGTCTGTAGAAGTTCAAACTGCCATCCATTCTCCTCTGAATCACCTGGTGTAAAGAGAACATCCACTTCTTTAGCGGAATAAAGACAGTCATACACACTGTAAAGTATTATGAAGATTTCTTGTAGAGCTTCAGCCTAAATGAAATAAAAATCTAAAACTTTTGCAGCAGAAGATGTTTTTTGTGTTTACATTAGCTTAATTTTCTTTTTATTTACATTTAATGGTGTTGGGCAAAGTCCAGAAATCCAGTACTTGAGTGAAAGTAGTAATACTATAGTAGCATAATATTACTAAAGCAAAAGTATAAATGCTTTACCTAAGTTAAAGTACCGATGTACTTGCTTTTAAATGTACTTAGTTATCAAAAGTAAAAGCATTGTTAGATATTCCAACATTTCACCTTTTGTGTCTTTTTTAAAATGGGGTAAAATTTCACTCCCCATACAAACTTCTGCAATTTTGGCTATCTGGTTAAAAAAATTGCAATAATTGGACATTTGAGGGGTGGGGTTGAGTGAAAGGTGTGCTATAGTTGGTTTGAATTATTTTTGAAAATGCATTATGTTGTTTTATATATTATGGAAAATCTAGCTTTTTCTTATGGTGTTACAGAAAGTAGCACAGTTAAAAGTAAAAGTCTCAAAAAAATATATTGATAAAAGTACAGAAGTAAAAACTAGTTAAAAATGTATGTAATTAAAACAATAATTTTTACCACTGACAAGTGTCTCATTATGGGTGATATTTCAATTCTACAAATTACACATTTAGGACTTTTTCATATATACATATAAATACATACAGTTCACAAGTTCACTAATATTGATAGTTCACTAGTTTATTAAAACTGCACTTGCTAACAGACAGTAATAATTAATATTTCCTAAAGATTCAGATGTGAATTGACCTGAAAACTTTAGTTAATCTATTAGAGAAATACAGTCTAACGTACCGTCCACTTTGCATCCTTTATTTGTCCATTACAGCCCATGTCACAGTACACCTGTACAGGTGTGTCACCTGCAGGGTAGATGGTGTAAACTCCACTCAGTTTTTGTCCGTTAGTGTAGATATTAGAGCAGTCTGTCGGGAACAGTTTCTGAGAAAGTAAGGTGCTCTCAACCAGCAGGGGGAGCACTAGAGCCAGAAACACTCTGAGCTGGAGGGAAGACAGAGTGATTGAGAGACACAATAAAAAATAATACAATAGAACAGCACAAGTACAAGAAACATTAAACTACTGTTTCCTTACATCTATCTGAAAAAAAAATGGCAGTTACGTAATGCAGAACACTGATATACACAGACTGGCCAATTCATTAAAACCACCTCCTTGTTTCTACACTCATTGTCCATCTCAGCACTGCAGTGACACTGATGTGGTGATGGTGTGTTAATGTGTGTTGCGCTGGTACGAGTGGACCCCCAGACCCAGCAGTGCTGCTGGAGTTTTTAAACACTTCAGTGTCACTACTGGACTAAGAATAGTGCAACAATCTAAAATATCCAGCCAGTGACCACTGATGGAGTAGAGGATGACCAAAACAAACTGTGCAGCAACAGATGAGCTATCTGACTTTACATCTACAGGGTGGACCAACAAGGAAGAGCTGTCTAATAGAGTGGTCCTGTGGGGCTCCTGACCATGAAATGGGGATAACAAAGTATGCAAAGAAACAAATGGACTACAGGCTGTATTTGTAAAACTATAAAGTGCTCCTTTATGGTCAGTGGAGCTGAGAAAATGGACAAAGAGTGCAGATATAAGGATATTGTTCTAATAAAGTGGACGGTCAATGTAAGCTCAATCCTCATTTCAAATATTCACAATACCATAACAAGATGACTGAGCAAGATGAGAGTAAACTCTGACTTACTGTCATTGTTGTTTCCAGAAGCTCTTCCAATAAACAAAAACCTACAACTTGATTCTGAAGCAGAGGTTAGGTCTGTTCCTGTAAGTGTCAAATTAAATTATATTTTTATGCAAACTTCAGTCTCTATTCAACATGAAATTAACATGTGGACTTGTTGCATTTTGTCCACCACAGTCACATCGACATAGTAATGCCATCAACATCAATGTCAGAGTAGATGTAGTCTAATCCTGTCATGAGTTGTCAACAGAGATTTTGTTCAGAAATATAACAGTGTCATGTTACCATTACCGTAATTGTTATAAAAGTTTATGTCACATGCTAATTTTGGCTGCTATATCAAACATTATGGCATCTGACATGACAGTTACCAGGAATAATTACACAGTACTTTAATATAACTGAACATTATCTGCCACAACATGTTCGTGTCAAAGTGAAGGGTTACCGAGGTGACTATAAAACCACTGGAAAAACTACTTTAAAGTAAATAAGGCAGGCTGTATGTTCTCTTTCTCCAAAAGAAATGCATTTGGGTCAATAACCAAGAATCACACAGAACAGCAGAGATGAGGCAATTAAAGACATCAAATGTGACTTACCTGTAAGGCTTGTCTTACCCCGTCTCAAGTGTTCATACTCGCATGCTTTTAAATCCTGCTGGACCATCAAACCCCTCCTACCTAGAGGACAGGAAGTCAGCATGAAAATTCCTTAAGGAAATTCCCGTCACTGGCAAACAACCTCTTGCATGCATCTATTGTATGTTTAGATTTGAAAATGTCAATAAAATTCAGCAGAACACACATTAATATCCAATGTAGCCAGATCATTATTACAGTATGTACTTTAATATTAACTCAAGCCAAAAACATTCAATTGCCTGTGTGGAATGAACTTGACATTTGGGCAGCTCTTGCACCAGAAAAGGAGAAAATGTTTTTTAATCTCTTGCTAAATATCTGCTCTGTGATTGCAACATTGCAAAAGTCTGGATAATGAAGCACAGCGAGAGAATAAAGAGAGAATAACTTTTGTGATAAATTGACCACTGAAAACAACAATATTAAGACATTATGTATGCTACTTCTGCGTTATGTATGTTCTAACAGTTAGATTGGACTGTAAGACTGCCATTATTCCACATCTTTCTCTAAGATTATTTTTAAGTTCAACCTGAATTAAAATTCATAAAGCCCTTGTCAATGAAAGTAGGATAGCTTGGGGTGGAACTAAACACAGAGTAAAATGTAGCATAAATATTTTATGTGATTAAACAGGTTCAAGCAGAAAATGCTTTTGTATTCTCATAGCAACATCTTCTGTGAATTCAGAGCAATTAGATAGATATTTCTCTAGGTTTACCACGCTAAAGAAAATACCTCGACAGTAATTTACCTTAACAGTAAAAGTATTTTTAATTACTGAGTTTACAGATTTCACATCTATATTATTTAAATTTTGGTCTTGGTGTCTCTAACATAGCACCTTTTTGAAGCAGATAAACAGCTCATAGTGAGAGCTTGCCAGCCTTATCAACGGGGTTAGTTTAAGATCCCCAAAGTAAACAGAGAACTCAATACGCCCCCATATACATTTATAACAGATTCTTTTTTTTGAAGGTTTTATGCACAGATTCATCAAAAACATAAAATAGAAATCACTTGATTCAGGCACACTTACTGGATTGGGGCCTTGATGTGGCAGAAGGGCTTCTGTGGTCTAGGGATCTTCAGAGCTAAGTCATCTGGAGCAGTATGCTTGTGGTAGGATCTCCCAAGGTGAACAGGTGTGGAATGATGACTCAGACTAACATGATACAAAATCCCCTACAATCAATGGACACAATATGTTGGGTACCCTGCCTGGAAGAGGGTTTCCGGGACCTAGCCCTGGAGCCTGGCCTAGGGGTAGACTGCCTGTTGGCTGGGCAGAACATGTAACCTGGCTGGGCTCAGTCCAAAAAGGCAATGCGGGGGGACCATGTCGGCCAATTAGCTTCGAAGTTCATGGTGGAGGACCGGTGCAGTGCCTTATAGGCAGTGGGAGATGGTGAGGCCTTTGGCGGCATGTAACCCTCAGGTGGAAACAGGATCTTGGCCTGTGGAATGTAACCTTACTGGGGAAAGGAGCTGGAGCTTGTGTGGGAGGTTCAGAGGTACCAACTGGATACAGCTGGGCTCACTTCCATTCACAGTGTTTGCTCTGGAACCAAACTCATTGATAGAGCTCGGTCCCTTTCTTACTCAGGAGTTGCACAGGGTGAGAGGCACCAGGCAGGTTTGGTGATACTCAGAAGCCCCCGGCTAGCTGCCGTGCAGTTGATGCTTGTCCCGGTGAACAAGAGGTTCTCATCAATGCAATTTAAAATTGCAGGGAGGAAAACTCTGTTGTGTATGCTTATGCACCCGAACAACAGTTTTGAGTATTCAGCCTCCTTGGAGTGAGTGAGTGGGGTTCAGCAAAGGGCCTCACCTACAGACTCCATAGTTTTGCTGGTAGATTTCAATGCTTATGTTTGCAATGACTAGCAAACCTGGAGGGGTTGATTGGGAAGAATGGTGTCCCTGATCTAAATCCTGAATGGTGAATTGTTACTGTATTTCTGTGCTAGTGATGGACTGTCCATAACAAACACCAAAGTTGACCACAAGGATGTTCGTAAGGTACCAGACGCCTGTGGTACCAGATCTCCTTAGATCAAAGGTCATCTGAATTGGGACCATATGTTCTGGACAGTCGGGTGAAGATAGGCGCTGGCAGACCCAAGCGAATAGAGAGGGTGTGCTGGAAATGACTGGCAGAGGCCCCTGTTTGGAATGATTTTAACTTCTACCTCTAGGAGAACTTTTCTCATGCACCGGAGGGGGTAGGGGACATGGAGTCTGAATGGAGCCTGTTCAAAACCCCCATTGTGGAAGCTGCCAGGCATAGCTGTGTTGTTGGTGCTTGTCAGGGCAGCAACCCAAGAACCCCCTGGTTGATACAGGTGGTGAGAGGGGCCGTCAAGCTGAAGAAGGAGAGCTTTAGGGGCTGTCGTGTGTGGCGGACTCCCGAATCAGCAGACAGGTATCGATGGCCATGAAAGGCAGTAGTGGTGACATTGGAAAAAGCAAAATCCAGAACATGACAGGAGTTTAGAGAGGCCATGGAGGAAGACTTTCGCTTGGCTTCAAGGAGGGTCTGGACAACCGTCCGGCAACTCAGGAATGGTCGGAGTGGCTTCTTTTAAGCTGTACTCAGCAGAAGTGAAGAAACTTTGACTTCAAATGAGAATATTGTGGATTGGTAGAAGGAGCACTTTGAGGAACTCCTAAACCCGAGAGACATGCCTCCCTCATGGCAGTCAGGCCTTGAGCCCTGACTCAATTTTCCTAGTGAAAGTCACTGAAGTAGTAAGGCAGTGGGGGTGGATGAGATTCACCCAGATATGCTAAAGGCTCTGGACATTGTTGGGCTGCCATGGCTGAAATGCCTCTGCAGTGTCGCATGAAACTCAGGAACCTTTGGACTGGCAGACTGGGGTGGTGGTCCCTATTTTTAAGAAAGGGGACCAGAGAGTGTGTGCCAATTGCTGGGGTATCACACTGTTCGGTGCTGGAAAGAAGACTCAAACCAATAGTCAAACCTCGGATTGATGAGGAACAGTACAGATTCTGTCTTGGCCATGGAAGTGTGGACTAGCGTTTCACCATAGCATGGATTGCTGAGGGGGTATGGGTGTTTGCCTATCCAGTCCACATGTGTTTTGTGGACTTGAAGAAGGTTTATGACTGTGTTCCCCAAGATATTCTGTGGGAGGCCCTCTAGGAGTATGGGGTGCCAGGCCACTACTTCAGGCCATTCGGTCTCTGTATGCCTGTTGAGATGGTTCAGGCATCTGATTAGTATGCCCCCTGGCCCCCTCTCACTGGAGGTTTATCAGGCACGACCAACTGGGATAAGACCTTGAGGTTGTCCTTGGACCTGCTGGAGGAAATATATCTCTATGCTGGCTTGGGATCCCCCAGAAAGAACTGGAGGAAGCTGCATGGGACAGGGTCATCTGGAATTCTCTGCCTTCCCTATTGCTACTAAGACCCTAGCTGGATCAAGCAGTTTAAGAATATGAATGAATGACATATACAAGGAATTTGTCTTGGTGGGTGCACAAATTATGACATGTAACAATTTAAACAGACCAGATAAACACTCAGAGTATTAACAAATATTTAACTAAAGGACAAATAAAAAATATAGTAAAAAAACAAAACAAAAACAAAAACAAAAAGAAATAATAATAAGGAACCAAAGAGAGAAG